CAGGGGAGCTTCCTCGGGTGCCTCGCAATGCCACACACCAGGCACCACAGCCAGGAGCCTTCCTCTCATGGCCTGGGGGCTGCAGCCAGAGACCTAGAGGTCAGCAGGGCCGGGCTCCCCCCTCCGGGTCTGGACAGGAGCTTCCTGCAGCTCAGCTGCCGGTGGTACTGGCATCCTCCCCGCTGGTGTCTGCTTCTGGGTCTTTACAGGTGTCCCAGTTCCCCTGCACTCAGGCCGTCCCTGCCCTGTCTCCGGAGCTGGCACCGCAGCTGGGTGCTCTCGCCCTGCCCCAGCCTTAATCTGGGGTCATGGTTTGCGACCTCAGGAAGTCACAGGGTGGCAGGGACAGGGCCAGCCCCTGATGGGAGCAGCATGGGAACCTTGGGCTCTCTTGGCTGCTGCTGTCCCTGGGCAGCCAGGCCCAGTCTCATTTGGGCAGCATCCTTAAGAGAGGAGAGCTCCAGAGCCATGACCACGGGGTCTGCTGGCTGTGACCAGTGTGACCCCAGGAAACAGCTTCCAGTAGGTGATCCCAGTGATCCCGTCAGCTGAGAAATGAACAGCAGCTGACCCTCACACCTCAGGATCCAGGCAGCGGGGTGCCCTTCCACAGTCACCCCGAGCTGGGCAGAGCACAGAGCCTGAAGCTACCAGGGAGGGCCTTTACCCTGGAGGACTTGCGGGCTCTCGGGTTTAAGACCCTTGGAGGCCCTTGACTGTGGCTGTGACCATCTCAGGGCCCTAGACCAAAGAGTCCCACCTGTCCTCAGCCCTCCCGCTTCCTGCTCCGGTGAGTGCTGGGATCTCCTCCCCGTCCCGTGACCTCCACGCCACTGGCTCGCAGAGAAGAGAGGTTCTTCTGTGCTAACAGCCATCCGACGTCTTGCCCTCTGACTCCCGCTGTGCTGGTGACAAGCAGTTGCCCTCTAGGATGTGGACAGAGGTCGAACTGGGAGTGATCACAAGCACCTGGAGTGCCATTTCTCCTGACCCCACCATGGTAAATGTGGGGCCTCTCCATCGGGGTACAGCAGGGGAGCCCCTGTGGTCAAGGTGCCACCGATGGTCTCCATGATACCTCAGGAAATGGTCATTTTGTTGGGTGGTCCATGGGTGCTGGAGAGAGGGACCCTCCCTTGATCCGCACGTTGCCTCAGCATCGTACCCCCTGCCCTGCCGCCCCAGCCTCCGGGAGCCAGGGGTCCTGAGAGCTTGCATGGAATCTGCTCCTGCTCTTGTCTGCAGGAACCTGAGCTGGTATCCAGGTGGCAGTTGGGCCAAGGGTGTGCGGGGTGGAATTCCACGGCAGGGGACACTAGAGAGCGACAAAATCCTGGGCACTGTCCAGCATGGACCTGGGGGCCCAGACCCCAGAGTTACCGGCCAACATGGACACAGCAGTCCCTCGTGGCCTCCCACCCGGCAGAGGGGTCTTCAGGCCCAGGGGAGGCGCTGGCAGCAGCCAGGCCCCACCAGAGATGATCAGCCCCGAGGGGACTGGGCACGCGTCTCTATCTCTTGTTCTGTCTCCCCCTTCTCCTGCCTGTGAGCTTTGAACCGGGAGCCCCTCACATGGTTCTTACGGCCTGCAGCAGCCAAATGCTGCTTCCCAGATTGTGTGCAGGACCAAAGGCACAGGAGCTAGAGAGGCTCTGGGGAGAAATGTGGGCTGCTGAGCCCAAGGGCCACGCAGCTCAGAGCCAGAGGGAGACATCGCTCTCCTCTCCCGGCACTCTCCGAGCCCTGAGCTCCAGCAGACACTGTCAGTCTGCAGGGCCAAGAGGAACCCCCAGCTCCAGCTCCTCCCCTTTCCCTCCTTCAGAGCAGCAGTCTCATCTGTGTCCCACCCCTCAAGAAAGCCAGAACCAGAAGTCAGACTGGTTTGCTACGGGCTCTAGCAGATGTTCCTGCTATGGACTGTATGAGCCACTAATGGGTCTGCTTCCTTGCCGAGGTATAGTGCTGAAGGAGACTTTGAGGTCAGAAAATCATCGTCATCGCCATCATCACCACCGTCACCACCATCACCATCACCACCATCACCATCTCCATCTCCATTATTACAATCACTGTCGCCACCATCTTCATTGTCATAATCACTAGTGATTCCTGTCATTGCTACCACCATAACAATAGAAGTTGCCACTGCAGGAGGGAAAGCAGTTTTGTAGACTGAACAGAGAATTGTGTCTTATTTACCATCTGCATGCAGGGCAGTTGAGCAGTGGGGGCAGCCTGGGACAGGGGAAAGAGCCCTGGTCTGGGGCTCGGAATCAGCTCACTCACAACTCCCCATGAGGCCTTGGAAGGCTCCAGCCTCTCTAAAGTGAGGGCCTGAGGAGGAGGGCTCAGGTGAGTGCCCAGGGGTCTGCTGAGTCCCCTCCCAACCTTCCAGCACTGTGGAGAGAGACACAGCCCTGGTCCAGGGTCCTCCTCTGACCCCCCAGATGCCCTGGGTGCAGCAGGGCTCACTGACAGAAGCACAAAGGTGGGGAGGAGGAGGCAGCTTCCCTGGGACTCGGGGTCTGGGGAGGCCCCGGCTTCCCTCGCTGTCCCCCACGCAGACCGAATAAGCTGCTCAGGAGTCCCTGCCCCAAAATCTCCTACAGGCATGGGCCAGAAAAGCCAGCTCTGTGCAAGGGCACAGGAAGAGAAAACCAGTAAAACTCTTGGTGACACAGAACCCTGTCGGGCCGGGGGTTTAGCTCAGCGGTTAAGTGCCTGCCTGGCAAGCGTGAGGTCATGAGTTCCATCCCTAGTACAAAAAACAAAACAACAAGAAACAGAACCCTAACTGCATGAGATACAAAGCCAGGAAACAATACACGGGGTTATAGTAAATTAAAAAGCTTCTCCACAGCAAAGGAAAGGACCAGCAGAGTAAAGAGACAAAGCAAACAGGGGAACATCTCTTCCCAAGCTGCCCCACAGGCCGAGGACTAATATCTAGGATCCATAAAGAGCCCAAAGCAACTGGACCGCCGCAGATAAAAGACCCAGTCCAAAAAACGGGCAATCAAATGAGCAGATGCTTCTCAGAAGAGGTGTAATGGGGCAAGGAAGACACGGAAACATTTCCAGCAGCCCTGGCCACTAGAGAGGTGCGCCTTCCAGCAGCACCAGGCTGGGCCGCTACCCGACTGCCGAGGTTGGCCCTGGTCACGGCCTTAGAAGCTGCAGGAGCTGGTGCGGACCGAGGGAAGGAGCCTGCGCTGCGGGCGGGAATGTGAACCAGGACGCCCGCGTTGTGGAGAAGTGTGGCGCCCCCACAAAACTGGAGACAGGAATTCCCCGGGACCCAGCTGGACAGCGCCTGGGCATCTTCCTTAAAGGGACCCAGCTGGACAGCGCCTGGGCATCTTCCTGAAAGCGGGGAAGATGCCAGGCTGCAGCCAAACAAGCCTCGCTGTGCTTACAGCAGCCCAGCTAACAGCAGCTGATCGTGGAAGCAACACATGTGCCTGTCAGCAGATGAATGAAGAAACAAATAAGTTTTTTAGTTAGTTAGTTAGGTAGGTAGGGTATTTATTTTTGAGACAAGCGTCTCCCTCAAGCAGTTCAGGCTGACCTTGAACTCACTATGTAGTTGAGGCTGACCTCGAACTTTTGGGAATCCTCCTGCCTCAGCCTCCCAAGTGCTGGAATTACAGACGTGCACCGCCCCTCCCGGCAAGAAAGCGTGCTATTTATGCACAATGAAATGCTCCTCGGTGATAAAGGAGGACAGATTCGAGTCACTGGTGGGAATCGAAAGGACTTTGAGACCATCATGTTATGCAAAATAAGTCAGTCACAAAAGGTCAAATACCGCGTGGTCTCTCTGAGAGACCCCAAATGCAAACAATTAAAGAGCAGGCTGGCGTGTTAAGCAGCAGAAAGGCAGACGCAGTAGGTGTTGGAGGGGTGATCGTCCAGTTAGACGTGTGTGTGGGTCCACCCCTCCCAGCCCCGTGTAATCACTGTGCGTCACAAACATGTCCTGATTTTTTAAAAAGAGCAGGAGAAGGGTGACTGAACAAGAGTCTTTTTGGGATTCCCTTCTCACTTGAGCTTAAGGCTGTGGCACGTCCACTCCCCACCCAGGCTTTCGGCAGGAAGTGGGGAGATGAATCCCCTAGAGCACAACCCCTCACCCGGGAGCTGCCAGGCCGGGGTGGGGGTGGGGTGGGGGTGAGCCAGGGCTAGGCCGCCTGGGTTTGGCCCCGCCGGTGTCACGGAGCCCAGCAGGACCCAAACCCCAGCCCTGCGCACACTCACGGGCGGCAGGGATCCCTTGTCACAAACCTAATTCGTTCCACAGTTTCGGGAAAGAAGCCAGGTTAGTGTTTGTGTGGGACGATGACGGTGGCGGTGTTTGTCACCTGATACAGATTTGCAACCAAAAATTTAGCCAAATGCTTTTGTTTGTGAACCAAATTATTTGCAAACAAAAACATTCCGAAATTGAGCTGCCGCTGTATATTGGGAGAATTCCACCAAATTCGCATAGGAAAATTCCCTTTATGCACAAATTATTCAGCTGTTACTTTACTGAGCCATTAATTCAGTTCCAGTGTTTTGCCCCCCAACAAGGATGCGATAAACACCCTTAAAAGTAAAAACTTTTAAAGTGGCCACTGCCCAGTGGAGGAGTTGGGGGGATTCTGCTCCCAGCTGCCAGGGACAGTGGCTCCATCCTGGCCACTGCCTGACCTCAGAGAAGCCGATCCAGTCCCTGGGGCCCTCAGCAGTGACCCCAAGGGCAGGACAGCCTTCTGCCTGACCCTTACTCTCCTGATGGTTTAAAAGGCAGATCCCGCCAGTCTGCCCCTGGCCAGAGGCCCAGGCCCTGCTCTTGGAACCCACTCTTGGATGACACCATCTCGAGTCCCAGCCCAGGTGTTCTTGGGAGGAAGGCAGAGTGGAGACAGGGACACCTAACAGACCCACCACCCAGGGCAGAAGGGACACAGCCGCCACCGAGGAAGAGCCAAGCCAGCTGTGGCCACGTGGCCCACCGTTTTATTGAATGTTCTGCAGAAGGGAGCCTGGGGTCAGCCCCTGTGCTGGGGAGCCCTAGCCCTGGACGCAGTGCCCCTCAGAAGCACCTCCTCTGGACCACAGATGCCCCAAACTCCTTGAAATCGGCAGCGGTGACCCACATCTGCTTGAAACTGCTCAGAGAGGTCACGATGGAGGCCCCAATCCATGTGGAGAACCAGCGGTCGGGAGGCGCAGTGATCTTGATGGGGATCCCTTTGGGCGCCAGAGGCTCCAGCTCCCTCAGCAGCCGGTCATCCAGCCCCTGGAACAGCGTGGTACCCCCTGACAGCACCATCTCCCCGAAGAGCTTCTTCTGGATGTCGGTGTCACACTTGGTGATGCTGCCGGCCACCATCTTGGCCAGCCCTGGACTCTGGGCGCCCATCTGCTCAGGGGAGAACAAGACCTCGGGGGCCTGGAACAGCTGGTCACCAAGGTAGACGATGTTCCCGTCGGGCAGCTTGTATTCCCGCAGGATGTCTTCCGGCCGCCGGCACAGCTCCTTCTCGGGCTCCGAGGCCACGTAGCACAGCTTCTCTTTGATGTCGTCCACCAGGGCCTTGTCCAGCAGGCAGGGGAAGGTCCGCCCGCCGGCCAGGAGGAGCCGGGTGAGCTGCTCCGTGATGTCCCTGCCTGCCACGTACAGCTTGGCCACGGCATGGGGCAGGGAGTAGCCTTCGAAGATGGGGACAGTACAGGTGACCCCCTCCCCGCTGTCCACCACCAGGCCAGTGACGCAGGCTGAGGCGTACAGCGCCAGCACAGCCTGGTCTGATAGGTAGAAGGCGGGCACGCCAAAGCTCTCAAACATCACCTGCGCCGTCTTCTCCCGATTCTCCCTGGGGTTCAGCGAGGGCTCGGTCACCAGCACCGGCTGCTCACTGGGCTTCACACCCAGCTCCCACTCGAACAGGTGCTGCCACAGCTTCTCCATGTCGTCCCAGCCTACGATCAGGCCGCGCTCGATGGGTGCACGCAGGTGCAGTGCCTCCTGCCTGTACAGGGCCTCATCCCCCACCAGGTACTTCTGCTGGGGCTCCGCCAGCATCAGCTTGCTATTCGGGTGCCCCACAATGGAGCTGAGGACATGGCGTGGCCCGATCTCTCCAGACAGCCCGGCTTTGCAGAGCCCCGTGCCATTGTCGAAGATGACGGCCGGGGAGTTCAGGGCTTGCGGGCTCGACATGCCTGCAGTGTCCCCTCTGCGGCCGCCGAGGTAAAGCCCGGCCCCTCCCAGCTGCCTATGTCACAGTAGGCTCCTCAGAAGGCCGCAGGATTCCGCAGCGCCCAGCGTGTCCCTGCCTGTCTACCTCCCACGCACCCCACAAGCCTTCTCACCCTGTAGCTCGGCCAGTGGGCCTTCCAGGGATGGTGGTCCCCGAGGTAACAATCCAACCAGGCCAGTGATTGTCCTCAGTGCCCAGATGTGGGGCACTGTGCCCCAGGGAGGACAGCAAGCCAGCCTGGGCCCACATCAAAGCAGCGAGGCCACCCAGCCCGGCGTGCCCACCCTCTGCCCAGGCGATGAACCAAGCACGGGGGTGGAGGGGTGATAGCCTTTGCCCACCGCAGTGGGTGCTCAAGGGTTCCTTCAGGATGCAGATGCCCCAGGGAAGTCTCAGGGGGTTCCCTGCCCTCTGTCCTGTTGGCTCTTGCTCTGCATCCTCAAAGTAGAAAGATGCTAGAAAGCCCTGCCTGGGGAACCCAGATCCAGGTGCCCGGCTCTGTTCTGGCCCAGATCAGGACCGCTCTATCTGCAGACAGCAGAGGCCGGGCTGGAGAGGGGGCACTGTCAGAGCAGAAGCCTGGAGTCTCGCCAGGCCCTGCCGCCCGCATAGCCCCCAACACAGGAGGGCGGCGGGAGTGACCTGTGGGCCCAACTGGTCCTGTTCTTCATCGTGGAGTGGCCTTGGAGAACTGGGCTCTCCTGACCCCTCCACCAGCCCCTCCAAAGTCCCTCCAATGCCCCTCCTGCCCACCTGCAGAGGACTTTGGGGCCCATGTCCCTTGGGGCCCTGGGCTCCTGATCGGCACCCTGTTGGCCCTTTGCACTGTGAACAGACTGAGCAAGACAGATGACACGGTGGTGGCGCGGGTGTGCTGTGCGAATCCAGCACAGAGTGTAGTGAAACACCTGATGTGGCCTTGTGACACGGACTGGGGGTGTAGCCACCATGGGAAGGCACTGACAGGAACTCCAGGTCACCTCTGCCCTGGGGGTGTCGATAAAGCCTTGATCAGCCTTGAAGGTGTTTCCTCCAAGGACACCAGGGAAACCCACTCAAAACCCATGCTCATGCCAGCCAAAACCCACCTCTCCTGTCAGCTGGGTCCACCATGCCCTGATCAAGTTGTTCAATGATTCTGAGGTGGTTGCCCCTCGAACCTCAGGCTCCTGAGGCCACAAGGGGACCATGTACTGTGATGACTTGTGGTAACCTACACTGGGGCAAAGCGGCAGGAGGAGCCGGAGGCCAATGCTGAGGGGCCGGGGTGCTCTAGGGCTCGTGGTGCCTTCAGTGGAGCCCATTCTGGCAGCACGGTAGACACGGGGTTCCCTTCCTTGAACCCTGTCCACCTGACTCCGACTCTGAGCATCCCCCGTGCACTGTCCATACTCACTGTGGGGCTGAGCTTTGGGGTCCAGCATTTGGGTGTCTGGGCTGGCTATGGGAGGGTGTTGTCTAGGGGTTCCAGCCTGCTTACCAGGCAATGCCCATGTGGACAGCTCCTGGGTGCTGCTAGAACTTTCTTCCCTCACCTAAACTTCAGGGGTGCAGAAGGGCGCACACTGGAGGCTTTTATGTGGTCAGCAGTGGAGGCAAACCAGGCCAGGCACAGAGAGCTCTGGGTCAGGACCCATGATGGAGTCCTGTAGCCCGGTCTGCATGCACTTGGGGATCTGCGGGGGGACAGAGGGACAGCTGGACTGCGGGATGTGAACAGCCTTGATTCACACAGGTTCGTGGGGTGTTGCAGTTCTGTGGTCCCTGCTGGTCCAACAACACAGGATGGTGGTAGCATCTGGGGGCCACGAATCACACAGAGACACAGAAAGAAGCCCACCCTGTATCTCAGGCCCTGGCCTGGTTCCTCCAGCCTCAGATGCTCCCAGTTTCCTCCTGACTGGAGGCCCGAGGGCACTGTGGGGAGGCCCCTGCCCTCAGGTGTCTCCAGCGTCTTTCCCCTGGCACTCTCCACCGAGCCGGGCAGGCGCCACCCAATGCCCAGGTCTGTTCCCCCAGACCGCACCACTTCCTGACCCTGGGAAGAGTCCTCCCATTGCCTCTCATCCACTTGGAGAAACGCTTGAAGCAGGGAAGGGCCTCCGAGGCCGAGGGGACCCGTGGGCGTGGGGAGGGCCGGGCCTCCTGACCTCGTTTCCCCATTTGCTGTCTGCATCTGGGAGGCTCCAGGGCCAGGTCCCACTCAGAGCCAGCACCAGCGCCCACTGAGTGTCCAGGCGGGCTGGCGATTGTCCCTCTGGTCTGAAGACCAGAGCACTGAGCCATGGACTTCCCTCTGGGTGTTACCGCAAAGTCCAAGTGGGTTTATGAGCCGCCGCTCAGCCGCTGACCTGAGTCCTGCCGGTTGGAACCTCCCCTGAGGCAGAAACTCGATCCTCCTGGGCCCCTTCAAGTCCTTGATGGGTGCCCCGAGCTTCCTCCCGGAGCCCCACCCTCAGAAATGAGGCAGGGAGCTCCGAGCCCCCAGGACCCAGGTGTGTGGGTCACCCTGGGGAGCAATACTCAGGCCAACAGACCCACTCCATGGCTGCCAGACCCAGTCATGGGCCCAGGCACAGAAAGGGGCACCTTCCCGTCCTCTCCTGCCGCCAATTAGTAGCGGCTTGCATCTGCCACCCCCACCGCAAGCCACCGAGCCTCGTAAATCGCTTGAATGGGTTTACGTGGGCGAGTGGCTGTAACTCCATCCTGTGGTGGGCGGGCACCATGGTCCTTGCAGGGGGCCTTGCTTCCGTCCTCTCCAGGAAAGCATGTTCATTTCTGCTCCAGGGACCCTCGACGTTCCCCTCCCCTGCTCTGGCACAGCCTTGTCTCCCGCATCGCCCCAAGAAGCCTGGAGTCCTGAGGAGCTGCCAGGCATTTAGTTAGACCCAGGGTTGATGTCCCTGGCCTGCAGGACACCCTTGCTTCCCACTGGCCTGGCTTGTAGGACTAGCGCCCCCAAATCCTGGTCCCAGGCCTGACTGTCCATCCCATTGTCCCTAGTTCCATTTGTCACTGGTGCCCAGACCCTCTGCCAATTAATGACCAGAAGATTGAGCTCATTCATGCTGGCTGATGTTTTTGTGGCCGGATCTTCCTGCATGGGGCCTAGCTGGAGCATTAGCAGCCTGAAGAAACAGGTGGCCCTTTGGGCGGCAGGAGGCTCTTGCACCTTGCTACTCCAGGCACCCCCACCCCTGGGTAGAGGAACTCAAGCCCCTGGGCAGCTTAACCCTTTTGAGTCTCTGTGATGAAATTTGCACCACCCATTCATCCATCTATCTACCCTTCCATGCACCCATTTATCTAACTATCCTTCCATCTACCCATCCACTCATCCATCCCATCCACCCATCCTCCCATCCACCCTTCATCTACCCACCCATCTACCCTTCCATCCATCCCACACCCTTCTATCTGCCCATTCTGTCACCCACCCATCTATCCATCTACTCATCTACCCGCTAATCCATCTACTCAATCAAGTATCTTTGACCCACTCAGTCATGCATCCATCTATCCATCTACCCATCTGTCAGCAGCCATCTGTCCTTCCCTCTTTCTTATTTATATTTCTGTCCATATATCCACTCATCCAAATATCCGTTCAACTATACCCATCTTTCTATCCATTATTGTTTCCCTGCCTCCCTTCCCCCTTCTGCCCTCCCCTCCCCTCCCACTCTTGGAGCTGCCCCCTGCACCTCCCTCCTTGGTCACCTCCGGTCTTTGCAGAGTCTGTAGGTCCCTGCATTTTCCAGTCTGGCACCCGTGAGTCTTCCCTGCTCTGAAGCTGCTCCTCTGCCAGTGTGATTGGAGATGACAGAGGAGCCCTAGGGTGACTGTGTCTCCTGCTGACCCATCCCTTGGGGTATTCAGGGGCCTGAAGGTCCAGGGCCCCCATCACATGGACAGGCAAGGATAGGACCCAAGGCACTCAGCCTCCTTGGGTGCAGTTGGACTTGGGAACACTTGTTACCTGGCCCCTGGCTCCCCTGTGAATTCCCATCCAGTGGTTACACATTGGTGCCTGGACCATCATCCTCTTCCATCCATGTTGGGGGTAGCAGGCCCTTGTAGCAACCCATGGGGGGGGCAGTATGGGCCTCTCTGGACAGATGCAGAACCCCATGGGGCCCCGATGCTGGAAGAAGGAAGGTAGGGCTCTCCCAGGACAGGTGTGGGGGCCCCAGATTCTGATGTCAACAGGAGGCCCAGCAGCAGCACCTTCCAGTGCTCTGTGATCAGCGCCCAATCACAGCTGCCCCAGGGCCTCTTGTGGGGTGTCAGTTCCCGGGACCCAAGCCTGCATTCCCGCCCCTCTGTGCCACTCAGTGGTACAGAGCCTCAGTGGTGTCCACGGGAGGTTGGGGCCCCTGCTTTGGTCAGCTAGGTCACTCCAACAAAGCCCAGCACTGGCACAGCCAGGTACTGGTGAGGCCCATCATCCCGGGCTGCCCACAGGAGCATCGATGGACTGCCAGAGTCAGAGTGGAGAGCCAGGGTCCCGGTCAGAACCTTCTGAGCCTCAGTTTCCTCTGCCACGATAGGGACGTCCTCATCCCCCAGTGCAGGACACGCGGTCAGGAAGAGAAATGCACTGGCTCTCAGGAGTGCCCCCCAGCACGAGGAAGCTGGCAGGCTCCCTGGCTGGGCTCAGCAGCCCCCGGCCCTGAGAACTCCCCTCCCTATCGCAACCATTACGCTGTTCAATCCTAGTGCTCTGAGATTTTCTGTCCTAACCTAAGATGTCTCAAGCAAGGCTGCCGCCCCCACTCAGGCTTCCTGGTCCCTTCCTTGGAGGAATCCTCCTCCCGGCCTTTAGAAAGGCAGGGCCCAGACCTCTGGCCAGTCCTCCTGTGGCCCTCAAAAAGAGAGCATTTCCTGCCCCCTGCTGGTACCCAGGTAGAACTGCCACAGGGTCTGGGGTGTGGGGACCCAGGGCAGGGTCTGGAGGGGGCTTGCTAATTTCTTGCTAAGGTAGGACACTGCGGGGGAGAGAGGGAGGGATCAATATTTGCTAAATAAGGGGGAGACTGCTGTGC